GCCCACGGCAGGGGGGTTGGACTAGATGGCCTTTAGAGGTCCTTTCCAACCCAAACTATTCTATGATTCTATTCTATGTTTCTATGAAAACCAGCCTCTGCTCACTGATAGCAGCCAAGGTTTGCATGGACATGTGAGGAGAGAGCAGCGAAACACCCTTGCCTTGCCAAGTCACAGGTGATCTGCTAGCCCCCAGGGTAAACATTACTGCTTAGCAGCGTTGCACAATCCCCAGGATAAAACATCGCGAGGCAGAGTCCAAAGCCACCCCGTCTAGTCCTCGAAGGCAGACGTGCAGCTGGGTCTCATGCAGCACCCTTTGGTCCCACCAGCAGATGTTTCCTGCAACACCGCTGGAGCCGAGACTTCAGCCACCGAGGTGCAACCAGCCCGTCTCTTCTGGTTCCACACACCACCAAACCAAATCTCCTGGGGGGAAGGAGGGTGCCAGGGGTGTCATGGAGAGGTGCCTGACAGTGCTTCTGGGGCAGATCCAAGCAGGTGCTTGTGGGGGAAACACAACGATGTCCTTAGGAGGGTCACTTCCTCCTCGCTTGGGCACAGAAGGGGTGGAGTGGCTATTTAGCCGTACCAGCAGGGATGAAGCTACGAGTGGATTTGTGAGAGGTATTCCTTGGTCTGCTACGCCAAAGACCAGCTTCCCCGTTCGCTCTGGCTGGAGGGCTCACACGTGTCTGCCACGTCCCTGTGGGCCAGGGGCTTTACACCAAAGCACCACATGCTCTGGCAGGCACAGGACCTCTTCCCAATCATGAAAAGCCCAGAATAGATGAGAAACCCCAGAGCTCTGAGGCAGAGCAAACGTGGATTCCTCCTTAAAGGAATCGCTTGAAAACAAGGGAGAATGCTACTACAAAAATACACTGAACAGCTCCGGAGAAAGCGTCCCACCTTCCCGTATAGCAACCATGGGGAAGGTCTAGTTCAATGACAGCAAAGGAGGCAGAGGGCCACTTTGAATTGGCATTTGCACTTGAAAGTTTTGGAGTGATTACTAAGACCAGTATTCTTTTTGTAAACATTTCTGTTACGCCTGCGTGGGTGTGAAGAAAAGTGCGTCTTTCAGCATTTTCGTTCACAACGGGGCATATCGTGCGTATACTAAGAAAGCCTGGGCACAGCTCAGCTGAAACAAGTCAGCGGGGCGAGGTCTAAACTAATGCACAAACAGCTCCATCCCGTTTGCACTGCCAGGTAAACCTCGCCGAAGCAGGAGATATTGAGTATTGCAAATTATTTTGTGTCTAGGTTTTACTGCCGCATTTACAGTCAGTGGGAGGTATACACGGTTCTTGACTCTTGTGGTCTGTGATTGACTGCAACAATGGACAACGGACATTGATGCTTAATGGACAGTAAGTGGTTTTAAAAATCAGTCTAAGATTGGATGCACGGTATAAAACTAAAAAAAAAAAGAAAGAATGAAAAAAACCCCCAGTGACCCATTCTCCCACCGATGACATTGGCTCTCCAGCAATGTGACTTCTCTTCCTTCAGTGGAAATGTTCTGAAGTGTTAATGGAGAGAAGAAAAAACCCATAAATATCCCTGAAGAACGAGTTTTTCCACTGCTTTGGCACTGGATTATGAAGCACACAGATTTACTACAGAAAAAAAATCAATTTCCCATTTCCCAAGCTGAGTTACATGATCTGAGCATGATCACAGGCTCGCAGCTCCTCCGCGTACCGTCTATAACACCCCAGCATCACATGCGTGCATGCACTTCACAAAACCACTCTCATTTCAATCCAGCCATCAGCTCTAGCACTGGCTGCTGCTGACTGTATTAGGGCTACTGCTGACACTAAAAAACAAGCTGTTTGGAGCTATCTTTGGTAAACACTTAAAGCAAATATCCTCACTTCTGATCTTAACGAAGCCAAGATGACTTTCTGCATGAGTAACCCAACTATTGTTGTAACACCGCCCCCCCAGCAAAACAACAACAACAACAAAAATGCAACTTCCTTCTCTTCTCTGACTATTTCTTAGGCATCTTTAAAAGCCCAGGGCTTGATCTGGATTGCCCAGTTCAATCAATGAAGCCAAATCCAATGGAGTTACACCCCAATGTACAGAAGCGTAATTGAGACCAGATTTTGGCCTGAAGAACCTCTAAAACCATTTCTCCTCCCAGCCCCCCAAGAGTCACATTTCTAAAAGAAAAAAAAATAAACTGAACAAGTCATGCCAACAGGGCAACTAAATTGTAAAGGGGGGGAAAAATAAAGTTAAAAGAATACTTTAATAGGAGGGACACAAGCTTTACCAAATGGAGGTTCACAATGGCAACTCCAGTTGCCTGAAGGATGCAATCAATTTGCATGAAATACAGCAGACTGCAGCCACCCTTGCGTTCATGGCAGCAGAAATCCCAGCTCCACTACCTCATCTGCTGAGTCTTGTAGCTTTTATTCCACGTTACAGTGAGCTGAAGGCATAATTCACCCTATAAGCCTATTACTTGGGCTATTTCTAAATTATCTGTTCCAGGCAACCACGTACTTTGCCTGATGTGGTCTCAGATTGATGTGCACCAGCTACAAACTGGTGTGTGCTTCAGAGTGCTGCTGGTCCCAGGTAAAACACAGCCAACCGCTGGCAGGGCACTTGCATAGTGCCGGTCTAATAACAGCTACACAGCTTCTGTTTCAAACCTGTCCTGCAGCTGATGGTCTCGGAGAACAGACATTAGTCTTTGAGGCAGATGCTGCACAGCTTCATATCCAGAGCCCAGGACAACACTGTGATGAGCACAGCTTTCTGCCTTCTCCTTGACTCTGCAAAAGGGCAGCGTCCAGCCCATTGCCTGCGAGTCCTGAATGGGGGAATTAAGGAGGGCCCAGCTGGTACCATCCTCATCCTCCATCTGAGAGTTGAAGGTGCTTTCTGCCCAGGGTCTTCCCAGCAGACTCAGTTTACACTGTCCCCTGAAACCGGTCCCTGCCTGTCAGTGGAGGTGGGTCCCCCCACTAACTTCCAGGTAAGCCAGCTCTGAAGCCTTTAAACCTGCTTCCTACAACCCTAAAAATGATGAGAAACTGAAGCATAACGTTGCTGAAGTGCAGGGTGGGGGGGAAGAGGAAAAGGGAAAAAAAAAGATTTCACGGGACCTGCTTTTGAGTGCTGTTATTTCAGCGATGAAAGTCACAGGTTGCCTATAGATCAGACGGTGCCACAGCGGTGATGGAGCATGAAACCTCACTTAACTCCCACTTCTCAGCCCCTGCAGCCCAGCCACCGGGGTCCTCGTGCCGACCACATTCCTGCCATTACACCCATGGCTTTTCCTGGCCGATAGAAGCTAGTCCTCACCGGTTGCATTTTAGAAAAACAACAGCTTTCCTCCTTTCATACTGCACCACTGATGCAACAGCTCGATGTCTGAACAGGAACGTAATCGGATACGTGAGCAAGTTGTGCGAGTGCCGTTAGGGAAAAGGAAAAAAAATAAAAAAGCAAATATACCAGTATCCAAATGTGAACAGACAGGATTCCTGATTTACGGGCAGCAAGCAGGGTTCAAATTGAATCTGCATTGCCTCAGTAAAGGCATCTGCTTATTGGACGATTTGTTTTTTAATGACCCTTCGATGTTGCTTTTGCAGAATCCTAGTTAAAATGCCATGTTGAATGAGGGCAACTCTGTGCCTTGTACTGCCACAGCCTGGCCCTCTGGTAGGTTTAGGACTGTGCCGTGATTTGTAAAACCTGTACTCTGATACTCTAGGAAAATAAACACAACCCAGACAGAGAAAAGAAATATAAGAGTGAACCCCAAAGTGCTGAGTTCTTTCAGACTCAGGTGTGGGCCAGCTTTAAATATTATTTCTGTTTAATCATGCAATAGCTATGCAAGACCTCAAGTGGAACGAAACAAAAACAGTTTATGTGCTTACTAGCAATAATATGGATTTTGTCATAGGAAACCAGTATTTACTGTTACAGTTATTAGGAATTAATTATTTTCCCTAAATTACTAGGTAAAAAGATTAAGAAACAAAGGTATTTCTAAAGGAATGCTTGGTTAATGCTTGGTTAATTCCAATAAAGGTAATAAAAAAATCCTTGTTTTTTGGACAAGGATCTATTCTCCTTTTAATACATACCCAAGCCATACCAGCCCAGTGACCATGTTAAGAAGCCAGTGGGTAATTCCCACTGAATATTGCACCACAACAAGGAAACTGGTGGAGATGGACAGCCCAACCAGCTCGCTCCCTACTACCACACCAAACAGGCGGACGTTTAGCAATTTCCCATGGTCACCTAACACCCGATCAAAGAGGTGCCTCGTCTGCGGCATCAACTTTGTCTCTCATTGGCACGGTTTGTGTGGCAGCGAGCATCCATTCATCCCAGAAGAACTCTGGGATGTCTGCAAAAAGCATCCCAGCACTTTGGTGGAAGATCAAAGCACGTAGAGCTTTACAGATTACAATCAACGTCCTGAAAACGAGCACCAAAAAGCCTTGTGGGGAAGCCAGCGCAATTCACAGAGCTTGCACCGATGTAACATGCTCACGCTAATCGCCTTATTAAATGGGAGGGCTACCAGTAAGCTAACGAGTAGCCTTGGAGGGCTGGGTGTTTGACTTTTCTAAATTGAGGAGGAGACAAGGGTGGGGAATAACGTGGCAAATACTGTACTGGACCACAATACAGCCCTGTATTCACTGCAAACTTTAATAAGCACCCGAGTCTTCACTGCTTTGGGGGAAATGAGAGCAATTTGGGATTCTAAAGTATCCCACGACCATGAGTTTATCCAGCAAGAAAAGTGCATAACCCACAATAGATGGGAAAGTCAGCCTGCCTTCCTTGGTGCAGCTCACCTCCCTCTGCCCTACCAGCACCGCATCTTGCCTCTCTCGATGAAGTCTCAGCCGGTACTTTGAACTGCTACCTCTTAAATTTGCAGAGAAGACAGCGAATGCCACACAGCTTTGTTTCCAGTCAGGCTTATTTAAAGCTCATCTGAAGTTTTCACCTCCCGGATCTGTAAATGCTGCTGCCGATTCATAACGAGGCAGAGAAGTACTCTATTAATCAAACCCAGCAGAACATTTTCTACAGGAGGCATTTATGTGAATGAGAGCAACATATGAGGTTACACTGAGCTAGGAAGAAAATTACAAGGGGATCTCAGTTCTCGTGCTTCAGGGCATAAGCTGATCACCAGATGGGGTCAGGAAGAATTTCACCCTCCTTCGTTCCTAGATATAGTGTTGCACAATAGGTAAACTATGGAGGCACTAGGAAGAAGGCAAAAAGCTGATTATAGCCCCGGTTTTCCCCCCTGCTTTCTTGGGAACTATGTCCCCAAACACTGCCAGACAGAAGACAGTAGGTTAGGAAAAATACCGGGCTTCATTTTGGCAGTTCTTACCCAAAAAATGATATGCACAGGAGCCCTGACTTCACATGTCCAACTAACAAAACACTAAGCCCAGCCAGAAAACCTGCTCTGGGAAGCTGGTGGGCAGCAGGCACCTTGTAATGAGTACTATCGACATATTTAATATATTATAAATATTTTACGCTAGTTAAAGCTAGACTTCTAGATCTGGGAGAACTTTGCCACAGCTCATGGGAACAATATTTTTGTTTCAATTCTCTGAGTGCTTCGGGTTCAAATTAACCCACTTAACTTCTCTTTCTTACTGCAAATTAATAAACCAGTGGAACTTAAAAAACAAGAAAAAGAAAGAAGAAGAAAGCCACAACACTTTGTTAAAACCGCTAAGTTTCAGCTGGTATCATGTCAAAACCACTTGAAACATGAAACCAGAAATCTTCCTAGGTTGACTCAAAGACTATGTCTATACTAGGAGTGCTTTACCAGTGAAGGAATACTGGTATATAAGACTGGCAAAGGTCTCCTGGTATAGATGCAACAGTAGCAGCAAAACCGAGTTTTAAACTAGTCTAGTAAATTGAGCCAGGAGTTTTGTCGATGGACTTGCATCTAGGTGAAGTTCTCCAACAGTTCTAGCAAGTGAATTGGTCAGGGGCAACGCCTCTTCACATCCTGGGTAGACACAAATACGTCAGCACAAGTTTTGAGTGTAGAAATGGCCAAAATTAGGTAGAGGTTGTTTTGACACTCTTTTGAAAAAATTAACCAGCTCTGAATTTAGAAAAATTACAAAATCGGTTTATTTTGTAGCCTTCACAGTTTTGTTGCAAACTTCTGGCATAGCTGCAGTTAAACGTCTTATTTCGGTCTTATAATCTGTGACACATGGTACTTTATGATTTCTCTCAGCACAATGAAATCTGTCTCTCAGCATGCAATCATAAATATTGCATACAACCCTCACAAGCAACCTTCGGAGATTTCTCCATAACCCAGATGATTGTTTATTGTAACAGTGGTCAGCGCTGGTGCTAGAAGGAAACCTTCACGTGAGAAAATTGTATTATTATTCCGATAGAAAGACCATTAAATGCTGGCCGCTTCCCTCAACACCAGTGCAAAATAAAAACGCTGAATAAAAATGTTCATTCTAATATGTACGATTGCACACACGGAGGACAAGGCAGAGCAACGTGGCAGTTAGCATTTCACCAGATTCCTACTCAATTTACCCAGATTGACTATTTTGGACTATTTTGGGCTTACGGAAAAAAGGTATTTTAAAAAAAGAAAGACATTTTCAGCTACAAACACTATAGAAAAATCCACTTCCCACCTAGCTTTGCTTGGAACACATCTCTCACTCTGTAACAGCCTCTTTTACTGCAGTTGAGACACAAATATCCATAAGCAATTACTACCGTTGCCTGTGCAAGTCAAACCTATGGTTCTGTCTCTTACCTGTAATCTGACTCTGTCCTTGTGGATTAAAAGGACTTGGTGCAGAGTTCAGAGAGGGCCGTGGGCTCTGGGTCGGGACCCCTACTCTCATACTGGGATGAGGAATGCGCCCTAAATCACTGAGGCGTTCAGAGAACAAACTAGGTTTAGAGTCATCAAGCTTCTGTCTGTGCCCTGGAAACAGCAAATCATAAAATAAAAGCGTTAATAACAAGATTTAGTAATTTAACACACCCCAAAAAAACCCCAAAATGGCCTCTAAGGACCTGTTATTAGATTTAACGGACTTACAGGTATCTCAGCTACCCCCGATAACACAGCAAGATCGGTGGGGTGATTTGTGTTTTGGGCATGGTTGTGCTGGTGAAAGCCTTATCGAGTACAACTGTGCCCATACAGATGTGTAACATGTTGCAATTTGGATCAAAATAAGCACTTATGAGGACACCCACACAAGGTCTTTTTTTTTTTTTTTGCTGCTTTAACTACACTAAGTAGTTAAAGGGGCAAACTTTCTTGTCCAAAAGCAAGCCTCATATGTAAGTACAAGTTATCAAGTGGGACAGTTATTCCATGCCTGGTTTATGTGTTGTGGATTTTTGCTAAGAAAATGCAAGCTTTTCTTTTCCCCTTATTTTTTTCTTTAACTCTGTCACAGTTAGTCATTAGCTTTCATTCCTCTGGGAGATTTTCCTAAAAGTAAATAGTCACTGTCATTTGAGACGACCAGTATCGCAAGGAAAACCTTCAAAGCTTCTGGCCAAGACTGGGCCCTACACTCCCTTGCATGGTCACCCTTCCTCAGTGCTCCTCCTTCTCTCCCCAAAAACAGGCTAACTGCCCTCTTGCCATATGGCCGCACTGGGAAAAGTCATTTAGGGGTGCTCGGTTGTCAAAATGTAGAGGGGAAAAATGGCAAAAGCAACAGGATGCCACAACTGGTACTGCTCATATTGTCATTGAGATGTTTCAAGAGTAAAGGCTTTCCTTCTCTAATTGTTGTATTTTTGCTCCTAGGTTTAATTTCTTTCCAAAGTAGTTATAGGATGCTCCTCGCTCAATGGCGCCTTTGAATGTGAGGCGCAGAAGGTGTTATTTCTATCATATGGAGAAACAGGCATGCAGAGAGATTAAGGTCAGGACTAATTTTACTTAACTTTAGCCATTCATAAATCAGGCACCTAGTCTAAACTCTTCTAATGTAGACTTCCTCTACAGTTAATGGAAAGAAATAGCTACTTCCAGAGGGCAATTAATCTCATTTGTCTCTAACACCAGTCTTAAAACGGGATGATTCACCTTCTGAATTTGCTTTCTCTTCCTTCTCTGGTCAGAGAGGGAGCACACATGACTAGTTTAATTAGACACCCTCACCATTAGTCAACATTAAATGGAATGAATCTTACCCTAAGTTACCGACCAAGGTCACACAAAAAGCCTCTGGGCAGAGCTGGAACGGGGGCCCAGACCCCCCTGATTGCAACCCAGAACCACGTCTGCCTCCATCCCTGTAAGCAGTGCCGGGGCACAGGCACAAGAAATAACTGGGTAGGATATTTTTATGCTTTTAACAATAAGAAGGGTCCCTGGTAGGGTTTGGGCTTGAACCCTTCCAGATGATCCCCAGTGGCTTGAGATAATTCGCGTTGTCTCTCAGCAGTGTGAACGCAGCCATCTGTCTGGAGGTTACGAGAGCTCAGCTTTGCAGACACAGTCAGATTGTCCCTTCGGTCTTAGGGCTAGAGAACCAATTCTGGCACTGCTTAATTTATTTTAAAAGCATAAATGAGGCCACTGAATCTTGAGATTGAACTATCAGACTACCACTCTGAAAAAAAATGCCTTTTAATGGTGCCTCTAACCACAGTACTGAAGTACCTGGGTTCACATCATCTAACTGGGACCATGGTGCCTACATGACATCGCTAGGCAAAGCGATGTCAGTACTAGACAGCTAAATCCAAACTAGATTCAGAGACATCATGGTTCTAGATAGAGAAGTGAAGGATTCAGGTTGGGAGAGGAGAAGAAACTGGATGGAATTTAATTTTGCAGAAACTTCTCTAGCAATTTAAAACAATTAATTAGTTGACCCATTATTTTGCACTTTGAAGTGTGATTTTCCTCCCCCAGGATGACTGAGTCTAAAAGCAGGGTGTAGGCGGGAGCTTTCTCCTTAAGGAGAAGGTGCTGCTCTATGTTAGAGCTGACATGGGTGGCTACCCCTCTCTTCAGGAGGTATCAATCACTTTAAATGGGGAACGATTTTTGGTGGGCTTGTAACAACTCCGCAATGGCAGCTTAATTAACAGGATAACATCTAACCTGGTAGTCTTTAGCATTATCTTTTCAATCTATTTAAATCACAACTTGTACAAGCTGGGTGCTGCTAAATCTGAAGAAACGACTTTCACACGCACACGCAGTCAGTATTCTCTTGGGATTTCTCCTTCTCCATCTTCTTTTCCTCCACAATTTTTATGCATTTGCTTTTCCCTTTGCCAGTCGTATCTTCCACTCTGTTTTTTAAAGGCATCTCCCTCCCCTCCCCTTTTCTCTTCTACTCATTCCTAATCACATTTCGGCAAATTCAAGAGGGCTCAAAATAAAGGAAACATGATTAGCCTATCTCTGGCCTCACAAGCCAGGGCTGACTTTATCGGGAATGAATCCACCCCCAAAGTGAATTTTATTTTGAGTTTTTGTAGAAAAATCCTGGGCTATGTTCATACAGTGCCCTTTTTGCTAAAGAATCACTAGCAAACTGGTGCACAAGCTATTTTAACTATCTTCAGATAACGCAATGAACGCTTGTTATATAGGTCACCACTCCTACACCAACCTGTGCCCGATAACCCCCAGCTTTGTTTTCATCATGCTCTGTTTGCCCGTGCATAGCTTTGCTAGAGAAGAGTTTATATTTAATTATGATGTGTATCATTATTATAATGAACTAGGTCAATCACAGAAAGACAAAATTCAGCAGGATAGCAGTGCACTTCAGTGTAGGTAGGGGGAAAATAAGAAGAAAAAAAGGAAATAAAGAGGAAAAAAAGAGGGGAAAAAAAGAAATAAGAAGAAAGATTCCCACATCTGGCTGAATTGAACTGATCTAGAGATGTGTGGGTTTGGGTGGTGCCACCCCCCCAAAAAAAAATGTAGGGAAAAGAGAGCTATATGCACATCTGGAAGACCCCAGGCATCAATGGAACTGCAAGTCCCCAGAAACCAGCAAGGGGCCGAAGGCAGACTTGCCTTCCCCTTCTGGACATTTAAAATTTAGGGTTGTAACACGGAGTCATGTTGTGACAAAGAGATCCACAGAAGGAGCCACGCTCCCCCAGTGAAATGTCCCAGTGAGATGAGATTACATTACAGCTTCGCACGTTATGGGTTACTATGCTTTGATAAAAGCTAAGACGTGCTCACATTGAAAGTAAGCAGGAAACTCAACAAAAACTTCATATTCGGGAGGTGCTCACAAAGAAGTGTAGGCAACTTAAATAAATCTCTTGCCCTGATTCCTGTGCAGAAAAAAAAATAAAATCCTGTTAACTACAGAGGAGCCATGAAGTATGGGCTGAAAACACTCTAAAAAGGCCTTCTGAGTAGCACATAAGCAGCAGCAATGAAATATGTGATACATGTTTAAAACTCATTCCACAAGCTGCTTTTCATCTCTCATTGATATATGTGTCCGTTGACAGAGAAATTCCTGATCCCAGGGGAGTGTGCTAAGAAAAGCTGTATTCCTTGGTCTCAGTCATGAGGCGTAATTTTATTTCAGGAAAAAAGATTAGGGTAGCAAGTGTGGATAGCTCAGGGAGAATCAGTGATCTGCTGCAGCAGTGAGTACATTAAAAAGCCATATAAAATCTACAAAAAGAATAGAATAAAATAATGTTGCAGCTATCCCAATGCCTGCAACGCTACATTTAGTGCCAGTTGCTCTGTTACAAAGATGATTTTGTGGAATGGATTGGGCTTGGAGGGGGACAAAATGGTTACGGACACAGGCAGTCTTGGATACGAAATGCAGTCAGAAAGATTAAGGCTGTCCCATGAGTTACTGAATAAGGATGGGACCCAGCGGCCACTGGAGTAGATCAGGTCACAGGCAAGGAGATGGGAAAGAGAAGAGAAAAATTGAGAGTTAATAGCCAAAAGCTATACAAGCTGTTCTGATTTTTCTGTTGTCATAGTACGAAACATGTTAGATATTAGAAATCCATTATTTGCTCCAAAATGACGAGCAATATTCTGGTCTCTTACCACTACTCAGCTATTTCAAGCCAAACACCAACCTGAGTATTAGTTTCTGGAGACAGAAAGCATTGCCGTTAACCCACCCCAGTACCAGTTTTGGCCATGTTACATGAAGCAAACCAGAAAATAGTACTGAGAGAGTGCAATAAAGTCAGTGCAAACTGCAGCCAGCAGGACGGTGCCTGCGCTGCTGCTTCAGCTCGCCAGTCCAGGACGGCCTCAGAACATGTTAAAATGGCCCATAGAAGCTAATGTTCAATTATCACGTCCCAGGCATGGCAGAAGATGTGAGGAGGCTTCATCTCCAGCTTAATCATTTCAGTTTAAACTAAATGAAGGAATGTCTCCCAGATCAAAGCAAGGCAATCTTGAGTCTGCTGGATGTGGTAACTGGAAAGGGACGTGAGCTCGTCTCTCATCACTGAACTTCCACCGCTCTGCTGGAGAAGTCAAGATGTAAATCGGGCCGTGGAAGAGGCTGACTTGCAGAATGTAAATGTGGTGTTGATGCTTGAAGATTTTTACCTCCTCGGGGAGGAGGGGTGTGCGTTTTTATCTTTCAGCTTGTGGGTGTGGAACTGAAAACTAATCAGATTATGCTACACGTGGCCTCGCCAGATGCTGACACTCAGGGACTCCCTTTCTTTGTACCGTGTACACCACCCGCCAGTTTTTTTGTGTGTGTTTTTTTTTCCTGTTACCAAGGAGATCTGGTTACCAGATTTTCAACAGATGCTTTTATCACTCTCAAGCGGGTTAGCTATTTTCAGTCATTGCCCAGTTCTATCTTTTTTGCTTTTGCCTTAACAACAAGAAGTACCGTGGGAGTCAGGTGTCTCTGTAAAAGAGCCAAGGGAAGGCAGAAAGGTCATGAAAACAAGAACCTGGGCTCTCACCTGCTGGGGACA